CATATGAACAGGATCCTTCCTTCCTTTTCTCGGACTGGGACCTGTTCATATACGTTCTTGGCAGATGATCCAGAAGTGGTTTGCCATTGCCTTCTTCTGTGTGTGAATGGAGTAATTGTTGGGATGCCACGGAGGGAAACTCCGTGTTGCCTAGACCACGGCCTTGCCCAACACAAGTTATAAATTCGGGCACCGCCGGGAATCAAACCTTAGCTGGTATTAATGCTACTCAACTTACCTTGTATTTCAGTTCAGCATCACTGTTGACCTCACGGTACTGCTGCAATTCATGTTCCAGCTTCTCAATGCGCTGCGTTAATGATGACATTTCTCGCTCATGAGCAGAATCTTTATCCTGCATCTGTAACAAGTCAGATAAATCTTCTGAGATCATATCACCACCAGCAGTAGTGAAAAGTAAAGTAAAGCTGTCCTACTATACACCATGTAGGCACTTGGGGGGAGAGGTGGGATAGCTCCTACTCATTCTTGACCTCAGCACTAGATGGGGGCGAGTGGTCAGCATGACGCCCCGGCCGCGCTTTACCCCCGGGGAAGGACCCCAGTACCCATTGGATAGGAGGGTGAGTGAGCCCCAGGATCAGTCTGGACACAGAGGCTAGAGGAAAAATCCTCTACCCCCGCCGGGGATCAAATCCTGGTCATCCAGTCCGTAGCCAGTCACTAAACTGACCGCGCTACACCAGCAGTGGTAGCAGTAGTAGTACAGCTTTACATACAAATATTTTTAAATCTTTAACACCAAATAATATGTAGAAAGTCAAGTTTCTAGACCAGCAGTATGGAAATTGAGCATACAAACCATAATTAGTATGTGGTCGAGTTTTAAATGGCACCTCAGTAAAATATCTGGCATAAATTTCAATTGATATAATAATCTTTTGAAATGTGAAAGTAAGTGAGAAAAAGTTGCTGGTCTCCAGGCTGAGATTGGAATCCAATGAGGTGGGAGGATAATCCTTTGTGATGTCATTATCCACGACCTTTCGAGACAACTGATAACATCAATTCCCATCATGACATAACTGCTCATAAGCATATAACTGAAGAATGACTGAACAAGTTTTCTCGAATTTTCGTATTTGGGATTTTGGATGTTATGTCATTGGAGGCTATTCCGAGGTCTTGCCTTTTAATTTCCTTCAATCAATGATACCAACATGACAGAAGGCCAAGCCTGTGAGGCAGGAAGATGATCATCTGCAATGTTCATTATGCACGATCCTCTACGATGACATGCCAATGGAACCATAGTTACCCTTGCTACTATGATTCCCGTGTTTAACAAACTTGCCATATAATGCAACAATTAAGAATTAAAACCAAAATTATGTATTTTCTTTTTTATGGTTACCAAACAACGACAGCGTTCTTCCAATATTTAATCTGACTAGCCAAATCCTTGCTAATATGTCACACGATGTATATATTTGCTACCTTATTAAAGTAAACCTTTAGCTAGTGAATGTAAATAGCATTTATATGTTTTATTTCTGCAGCCAATGTCCGAGACAGCTTCACAGACACCCACCAATGATAACAGACAAGCATTCTCGGTAATCTTCTTCTGAAATTCTTCATCCAACACGTGGTTTGTTAATTCTCTGTTTGGTGACGCTCCAGGACCTTTCGATCTGCCTTTCTTGGGTCGTGCCTGAAATAAGAATTATGCAAGTTTTTGGCTTTTATGGCAAGTCATAATTCTATCTCATCCATCTAAGCTAATTATCTTTCTCATACCAGAAGGAAGCTTATAACAAAGTTACAAGTTTCTTAGCCTTCTGAAGCATGATGCTCATGTAAATAGTGTTAAAAAATCAATTGAATAAAAATTTTCTTGGATATTATCCATCGTCTAGTAAATATAAAACGTGAAACGACGTTTCGGAGATGGGACTCTATCTCCGTCTTCAGGTTCCTACACAGTTGGGCCCACTAGATAGAGCTAATCCCCATCTCCTGAAGACGGAGATAGAGTCCCCATCTCCGAAACGTTGTTTTACGTTTTATATTTACTAGACGATGGATAATATCCAAGAAAATTTTTGTTCAATTGACTCTTCACCATCGTCAAGAAGTTTTAGATCTGATATAGTGTTAAAAAATCTTAGAGAAAACACAACAAAGATCAATTGGTTATGTTATTTAGGGAATAGCTGCGCAGACTGAGAATCATAAATAAACAACCAATAAACTCTGTGGGGAAAAGGCAGTTACTGAATGTTAAAGTCATAAATACAGTAAACACTACGCTTTAATGCCAAGAACGAAGTTTACTCCTCTGCTTCCATCATGTCACTTAAATTAAACACTGACTGCAATCAGAAACTGTTCACGGGTATTCAAAAGAGCCAAATGTGAGTTAACACGAAACAATGAAAGAGGAAAAAGTTATTTACTTCTTCTTAAAAACTACGAATCGAAATGGTTAATGTGAAGCACTGGTACCTCACGGTTAGTGCAATGATACGCATGATCCAGAAGTTCAAGATTTTGTTCCCCCTCCAATCAATAAAATTAAAAAAAATCAGCATAAGCGCCAATTGCTTGAAAGTAAATATTGTACACATGAAATATGATTCATAAAATGAACAATGTCCAAAATAAGCTCAATGCAGGAATTAAATTACTGTTATAAACTTTATAAATCTATGTTTCTGACTATCCATAAATTAACGTCCAGATTACGGTAACCTGCCTGCATTAAATCAAGTTCATCTTGAAGTACAGTAACTCTCTTTGTGAGTTGCTGATTACGAAATGTTAAACTGTCCATTTCCTGTTCAGCTTTGCGCAGACTCTGCTCCCGCTCCTTCAGAACATCCCGTAATTCTGAGTTACGAGTCTGCTCTTCTACCACAGCCTTCTTCAGAACATTGGCTTGTGCCCTTATCTGTAAGATGTGAAAACAATAAAATAAAAATAACAACTTATAACACACAGTTTATTTTCATGTCACCTTCATACGTGATACAAAGCTGAAGTACCTTAGAATATTCTGAAGCAACTTTCTGGTATTTTGTTTGCAAATCTCCTGGCACGCCTTCCATTACAGGAATTCTGGCTTCAACCTAAACAAATTAAATATGTTAGATTATATTTGCTCTACACACTCTCTAAATGAATTTCAACTACCAACAACACTGAATGGATATGACTTATACAGGAAGTGCAAAAAGGAATTAGAAAGCAAGAGTATTTTAAGACTTGTACAGACATTAAGGCATGTAACCTATGAAGACAAGAAGATTAAAAGGAGGAAGAAATGCAGAAGAAAAAGACAAAAATATCCTAGACTACATAATATTTGAGGTTTTCAAAATGGTGAAAATGTTGCATTTTGGTGCTCTGGGCTATGACGCTGCCCGTCATCACAACTCAAAAGACCACAGTACAAATATCCTGGATTCTTGACAGGTGTGCAGAAATTTTTTTACATTACCTGCCTTCCAAATCATTTAATTATTATCAACAGTAAGACAGACAAAGAAAGTGGTCAATGCATATGTCAGTGGATTCTCCTGGCATTCATTTGGTTATACTCACAGCAATCACATAAAGAAATTCACACCTCTCGAAAAACAGCACAGGGTTAGAATCATTACACTTGGGAGAAAATTACAATACATCAAATAATCATTTTTTAACTGTACTATGCTGACAGTGCAAAATAAAACATAATTTCTATACACCTGCCATATTATGACTGAATAAATTAAATAAGGATTGAATCATGTTGATGGCATTCCTTGCTTACAGTAAAATGTAACACATTTCCTTACATATTATAAAACAGATACCAACTAACGTTTCAGACAAGTCTAATAACTTTGTTCATGCACAGGAGTAAACATTAAGAATATTACAAAGGGCAGTACTTCATAGGTATGCTTTAAAATTGTATGCACAATCACAAACTTAAGGAACTAGTAATCCATACACAAACGTAATTATGATCTGTACATTGGTATGACTTTATATCCCAGGTTTGTGAGTCAGAGAATGAAGTTATTTCAAAGCACCTAATACTTTTTAAAGTGTTAATAATAATAATTGAAAATATGGTGGTTATCCCTGATTATGAAGGCAGAAGCAGTCTCGAAAATGTTGAAAACTCATTCCACTGTGACACAAGTTACTGCCTGAGGAAACCTTATTCCACAGTCCCACAATTTCTGTGGTCGGGGTGGGGGGATCATCTATATAATGCTATCTGTATCCATTCAAACAGACGTACGTATGAGCAATAAACACACAATTAAAAATACTGATACTGAAATCACCATAAACAATGTGTGATAAAAATACAACTGGATTTCATTGAGGATGAAAGCAAACTCATTTGAAATTAGATGGCATTATACTTGTCGGCCTCGGTCCGTTACTCTTTTAACTATTCCTCGAAAGCGTTTGGAAGACCCTCAAATTAACAAGACATAACAGAGTCAACAGAGCACAGACTGAAAGTGTCATTATGCTAGACTCGTCATTGGCAGACAAGTTATTTCCTCCACTACCTGTCAAAGCAACCATTACCTATTTGCCGCTTCCTTTTCAACATTAGATTTACAAAACAATGTATTAATACTCAGAAATAGTTTCAGAGTAATTACATGTGTGTTGTTCGAAAATATTCCAAGTGCCGTTTATTTTACATAACCATAATCCGCCCCCTTTCTAACATCAACCACTCGACAACACATCACACAACCAACAGCGGACATAAGCAATGTCGCCAATATATACTAAAGGTTACTAAACAGGACAGACAACGGAAGTATTCTAGTGGAAATCAGTTATGGTGTTTTCATGGGTAGATTTTAAAGCATTCGAAACGACTAATAATTATATATTTTTCTTTTTCTTGATGATCTTACAAATAACTATAAAGATCAGTACCGGACTTACACATACGCTAAGCTACAGCTCAGGGTATTGCAATTTCGGGAGCCTAAAAATACATAATAGATCTTAACGAAGAGTGTTACAGAGTAATGTTTTATACCAATGTTCTCCTCATTCAAAATGTTAATATGTATCTCAGCTTTCATATGGTGCTTCTTAAACCAATTTAGGACCTCAGAAAATCAAAGTCTCTGGCAAGGGGACGACAAAGCCTGGCAGCATTACTCCTGTTCCGGCACCAGAGTAAAGACTTTTACCTGCACATTATTGAGAGCTTTCATTAATAAGTTGTATCTGGTGCAACGCGAACGTACGGGGCGCGGAGGTGTCACTCCACATATTTTCGCACGCGTCATTGGGTCCATTTCCAAGGTCATCAGCCATAAGTCTATGTGCTGGGTCAATCATCCTGGGTTTGTGGCAATTAGTTTCATGTGCAAAATATTTGGTTAAATGTCTTTTGCCATCTGCTGAAGTGCACTGGCTCAATACCCAAGGTTATTGGTCCAAGATAACTCCTCATGTCTAGAATCAGCTACCCTAGGTCGAAGGTGGTTGGCATTATGTCCAAAGATCTTTGATATAAGTGTCAAGGACAATGGTTCCAGATTTAGGGTTATTGGTCCTTGGTCCAAGTTCACTGGTCTCTTGCAACTTTTTACAACAAAGACCAACACACATTTCTGTGTGCAGAAGTGACGAGTGGAATTATAAAAGAAGATGCTGAAGAGATTACCTAATAAGGATAAGGAAATGCTATGTTTTCTATTACTGTTAACCATAGAGGTGGTACTTTTGAAGCATCTACATGTTTGGAGCAGTCTATGAACTTAATATTTTAACACCTTTTATCCACTTCTTGGTTATAGGACAGCATTATGAAATGTATTTGCCATACGAAACTCTTGGAAAAACCACACAAAGCCTTGGAGAATAAATCTTTTATTTCAAATGAGGAAAATGGTGCTATTAAGCACATGGGTAAGAATGTTAGATGTAAAATGAATTAAAGTCTGTATTTAAATGAATTATGGACATTTAATTGTTAAAATTAGTTTTAGATTAAGTTCTTGAAAGAAATACATAAATTTGTTTTATCCGGTTTTGTATGTGAACAGTGTCCTTAAAATTTGGAAGTATTTTAGCCCTTCAAATTTTCTAGCTAAAGTATGTGAACCACAAAATAGAAAATAACATTCTACACACACATTCTCTCTCCCTCTCCCTTTACATATGAATGTGTGAGCATGCACACATTCATACACTCACTGTATTTTAGATCTGATATTCTTTTCCACAATGTTTCATAGTACATATCATCCCTTATGTGACAGCCCACTCTTGAGTTCGATTCTCGAGCAGGTGGACCTGAGATAGACTTAGACGGGACTTTTGGCGATTACTCCAGTTTATACGCAAGGAAAGGGGCCTAAGTTAGTTTTGTTTCGGTAGCGCCTTCCTTAATCGGAATTTATAATCAAATTGTATTGAATTTTCCCGAGTTGACGGTTAGTATCGCTAGTTCGGGCCACATCTTGGGAGACTTGTTTGTTCCACCGGGCGACTGCCTGGCGCTGGCTATGTGACTAGATGAATGGGTGATTTTATGATCGGTGGCTCGACTTGGTGGGATGGGTAAGCTCTTCCAGATGTGTTTTAGCCGTTAGAAGACTTAGGATAAATCACGTCACTAACCACCAATGGGTTTAAAATAAGCTATCGGCGGAAAATTTGTAAGGTTAGGGTGATGAACCACTCAGCCAATGAGAACACTCTTCAGATTCAAAAAGTCTGGGGGAGTCTTGCTGAACGCGGTGTGTCCAGCATGGGGCTTCCAAAAACTCATTTACGCAGCAGTCTCGACCGCGGGTAGTCCTGCACTCGACGAGGAGAGAATAAAAGTGAACTACTACAGAATTATCGGACTACATCCCCTCGTATCCCACCGCCTCGCACCTTGCTTCTGGAACCCTTCATAGCCACCACGTATATTCCCTGAAGGCGAGAGTCCATGCCCTGAGCTACCAAAACGAAACCCAACAGAAAACCCCTTGTAACCAGCCGGGCGTCCTGATGTAGAGGAAGGAGTGAAAGGACGGTTACACTTATAATTCAATTTATCGTCAATGAAACTACTTAACTGTTGTCAAAATATCACTTCATAATAATATATTTATTTATTGTCAATGATCAAATCAATGTACATGGTTTCTGCACAACATAATTCCTATGTCTCTTCAGATTCCTCCGTCACCTCTAGACTTTCTTGCTTATCTTCTTCAGCAGCATTCTCCTCCTGTTCCTTCTTCAAGTCATCTTTAATTCTCTCCTGCTCTTCTTCACTGTCTGTATCATCATCTGCTCCAGGATGATGAGAGACAAAGTGTTCGGGGACAACTTCCTTGCGCGCACCAGGTTTCTGCCACACTTTCTGGGCTCCCTGTCAACACAACACAAAAATCCATTTGAGATGAGGCGTGCACATACTCTACTTTTACTATAAAGAAAGTGACAATATTTTTACATGATAGAGGGGACACATTTATTCATTTCATTGCTCATTTTAGTACCACACTTTGGTTTACTTTTATGAAAAGTAAGGAGTGATATTCAGTAGCACTGTGTATTGCTAAAAAAGAAATCCTGGATCTTTATCTGTTAATAAGTAAGTAAACAAAAATCCTGTGTTAGTACACCTTAACAACAGATTACACCACACTTCATTGATATGGATCTGTGGCATCACCAAATGCCACACAGCCCATTAACGTGTGAAAAATAAAGATCAAAAATATACACGTAAAATAAGAATCTGTCCAGAGTTCCTTAAATGTTAAAGTAGTTCTTCTAGGTGTTTGATTTCAATTCCCTCTTTTATATGTTTGTTGGAATGTACGATTTCATCTTTGAAGACTTCTTGCTGGGTGGCCAGAGACCATGAAGGTCAAAGGACCATAACCTTGGCAACAGAAACAAACAAACAAACAAATGTCTGTATGTCCACACACACACACACACCATGTCCCTAAAGAGGTTCAATATTCAGTGTGACTGGCGTGTTTACAAATCTCAATGGTCACAAGACCACAGAGGCTTTTGTACCTCTGACTGGCGTGTTTACAAATCTCAATGGTTACAAGTCCACAGAGGCTTTTGTACCTCGTTCAGTAATTACATTGAACAAAAACGCAAAATTTCTTTTTCAAAATATGGTGGACTCAAGGTATTTTTTAATGCTGATTTTAAATGTGCAGCCTGTTTCTTCCTAGCACTCTCAGTTCGCAAAATATTTCAGACTGTAATGTTTTGGCATCATAAATTTTATACATTTTGCAACCGTGTTTTGTTTCAGCTGTTTCCAGACTATTCTACCCCCACTTCCCCCTGCACGTCAAACAGATGTATAAAGCAAACACGCCAAACACGGTCAATCAGTCAGAGTTAAAAGTGTGTCATATAACATTGTTATTTATTAAACTAGTGCTCTTTTTAAGTTGTTGGTGTCAACTGCAGTTAAAAGTTCTTTTAAAATGCCACATCAGTGCAATAATTCAGCAGACAGGTTTTGTTATGTGTGCGGTGAATACGCATATCTCACAGACAGTCTGTAATGCTTCTACAGTGTGTCCACAAAATACTTTAGGTTTAAACTGCAGTTTATCCTGTTGATATAAAACCATGTACTTACATAGAATGCTGATTTCATGGCTTGCACCTTCTGTATGTAGAATTCATACACAAATGCTGCTATTTGGGGCATGTCTTCCACTTCTTGAGGGCAACCTTGGGGAACGCTGTTGTTAAGTCGTTGGGTAGGGAATGTTTCTTGAGGAACAATGTGCAGTTTAAGTGGTCGAGCCATTAGCTGAAATGAATAACATTTGTAAATAAAAACCCAGTAAGATAAAATGTAAATTAAATACTGAAAAAGGGAAGTGTATTTATTAGGCCAACAAGTTAGTGAGGCACTGTTAAAAGGATGAAAGCATTAAATGGTCTATTGTCATGGCAATGCGGATAAACTTTAAACTTGTAGAGTACAACTACTGCACCACGTGACAGCACGAGATTGTTAGCCAAAGAAAATTCTTAGGTGTAATTTTTTAAGCACATTAAGAAAGTGTGATATGGATTGAACTGGCCCAGGTTTGTGAAAAACTGGTTATCGGCTGAAAACTTATGGCATCGTTCACTGTCTTGCAAACAACGCAATTTACAAGGAACATTTATGTTTTGTCTTGGTACATGCTACAGCCTTTGTGAGAAACTTTTTGTCTAATCAAAATTTTTAATCTTATCAAAATTTGACATTTTTGGTATTCGTGTAAACTGGAAGTCCTGGACTGAAATTCAATTCATCTGATGTACTCTTAGCAATGGCTCAGGAATGCATTCAATAGAAGACTTCAAAATTAGCTTCATTATCAAAGAGTTAATTAGTTACATACACAAAGCACCAAGTTTTATAAATTTATTTTTATATGAAACATAATTCTTGCAAGAACACAGATGGACACAGCAAGGCAACTATAATAGGCATTAATGTACTGCATGATGTTTGAAGGCTGTAAACCAGAATTATTATTTATTTAGTGTTCTGTCTGACGACAGGTCCATATGAACAGGATCCTTCCATCCTTTTCTCGGACTGGGACCTGTTCATATACGTTCTTGGCAGATGATCCAGAAGTGGTTTGCCATTGCCTTCTTCTGTGTGTGAATGGAGTAATTGTTGGGATGCCACGGACAAACCGGGGAAGCCCCCGGAGGAAAACTCCGTGTTGTCTAGACCACGGCCGTGCCCAACACAAGTTAAATTAAATATATGTGACTGAAGTAAGCTGTCATGCAGAGGAACTATATCAACAAGGTGAGGAAGCAGACAAACATGACATCTTTTGATAATTTGAACATAACCTTTTATTTACACTGTGCAATGATAGAAAGTGTTTACCTGACTGAATGCTGGGGTCAGTTCAAAGCAGTTCTTGAAAAGAGAGACCCTGGCAAATATATAGAGACCAAGTCGAGCACGAGACATAGCCACTACCAGACGGCGCACATCTCTCAAATGCCCAACTGCCTTCGTCCGTACCAAGGAAAGTAAGATGTAGTCATTCTGCTGACCCTGATACTTGTCAACTGTGGTCACCTGATAAATTAAAATATTCTGTATATAGATGTTGCATATACTAACTCATACAGACTCTGAAGGCCCATTAGATTAAACATAACATTAAATAAACAGCATAACAAGCACTGTAAAAATTTTAATTGGGTTTCTTGTTACTACAGCAAGACAGGGCATCTAGATGTAGAAGCAGTCTCTGGGAAAGTTTTCAGATAAAAAACAAATGTATATACAGTCGAATAGGGGGCAGATAAACAGACAATCATGATAATCTCTGTATTAAATATTTATATAGCTTTATCTCACTTCCTTTCAAAATGGAAACTTCTAAGAAAAATAACATGCTAATACTTCTGCAGATAAATTGTTAAGTATAAATCTCAGGAAAGTGACCTGTTTCCCCCTCTCTTAACAATGGCCTGTTTTAGGTCTGGTACAACTTGCACCTAAAAATTTGTTTTTGTCTTTTGTCAATTGGCTTCATTAATACTCAATTATTAGTCTCCTTGGAATGCGAGACAACCATTAACTCAGAATGATCATATGCAGGTTCCTCAGAATAAAGCAAAGTGTGAATCAAGAGCTTTTATTGCTTGTAACAGTACTCACTGATCATGTCACGTAATCTACATATTAATCACAAATAAATGTTCAGTTCGTCCCGGGGACGACGTTAAACTACGTCCACAGACCTTAAACTGCGTCCATAGACCGAGTGACCACCGGTATAAGTGGTCCCCCTCTACCAAGTGCCAACAGCCTCTTCAGAGGGTGGAGGTTCAGGGCACCCTCATGCCGTTGGGGTGAGAAATCACCCAGGGGTAAAGAACAGCTAGGGCATGACATTGACCACTCACCCCTATCTCGTGCTGAGGTTAAGAATGAGAAGGAGCTATACCTCCTCTCTCCCAAATGCCTATATGGTGTATAGTGGGACAGCTTTACTCTTACTGTACCTTGAATTAGACTCCACCAAATCACCAGATATGATGTTTTAACATCAATAAAAATGGATTATAGTCTTCTGATGATGTAACCAGTTTGTTTTTGTTTAAAAACTGGATTTATTAGTCTAAAAACTCCATTTAAAACATATTCAAAGACAATGGATATCTTTATTTTAATTAAATAAGAGATTTTATTGCATTTTACATCTAATATTCAACTCTACGTTTCCTATTTCACGATTCTTTTCAAAATTATCATAGAATTTAGTACTGATTCCTTGTAAGAAGTCAGATTTCAAAGTCATACATGGCAGCAACTTGTTAGTGGATCAAACAGAGGCCGATAAACTGCAGAGTCAATTTATGGACTATATTGACCAATGGGTTAATTTCTACAAATTAGACTGTACCTTATGTGGCCGTCCGATGAGCGGGTTGGTGGCACACCGAATGTTGATGACATCACGAATGAGATGCTTCTGTCCATTGTACGTGGTGAGAATGGATATCTTGTCGGCTGGGTAGCCGATCAGTCTCATGTACATGAACGCAGCCACACAATATTCAGCCTCTGCCAGATTCTGATCAATACAATTTCATCCAATTAGCAGAAGCAGGATTCTTACTTGTGGTCATAAGTGTAAATAGCAACATCCAAAATCCAGAAAGTTACAGTAAGTGAACCAGCTACTGGGATAGGCAATGATTTAAAAATGAAAACATTACCAAGAAAAAACTGTGTAACATTTCTAGAATTCTTGCCAACTGTTTCTCCCTTTAATGGAGTAAACCCTTCTTGTTCCAAATTTCCTTTAGGAAAAATAAAATTTGTCTACTTTGCCTTTAACAAATGGATGGTACCAATCATTCAAATTGTGAACTGACTTGATAATGATGTTATACTAACCTGATAGAAGTATGGACTTGGTTCTGACTCACCAACACCATTGAAATCTTCCACATTGATAACCTGAAAATCAAACCAAAAGCCAGGGTTGGCAACACGATACTCAGGCCAGTTTTCTACATGGACCAGATTGCCCAATCTCTTGTACCGCCACTTGTATAGGTTGCAGATACTGAAATAAAAATAAATTAGATTATTTAAAGACATAAAAATCAGTAACATTTCACTCACAGACATAATCTTACTGAAATTATCACTTCTGCTCTTGAGAGTATATAAGAAAGTTACCCTCTCTGTGTCTCTGCTGTTATTTATTTTAACAATTCTTAACAACAGGAATGTTAATGCAAAAAAGACACATACACAAAGACAAGGAGCAGTAACATGATACACGTAGGTTTCAAACAGATCTGAATTCATACTCTACAGGCCTACATGTTGCTGCATAATAGAAGACTTAAGACAATATTAACCTTGGCCTTGCTCTGCCTTGTCCATCCAAGTCAACAGTTGGCACCCCTAGCCTCACAATGCGAGTGAACAGAGACTGTTCCATATTGGAGTACTTTTGAAATGCCATATTCTTAATTACTGGTGGCAGCTGGTGGTGATCACCAATCATTATCCAGCGTTTAAGTCGACTAAAGCCATCTTCAGGATTCTGCAGCAGCAACGGAATGAACGTTTCAATCTCCAAGATCTGTGCTGACTCTTCCATTAGGATGTTGTCATACTTGAAACCTGAAGGTAAAGATATGTAAATTCTCACTGCACTTAGTCCATTTATGGCACCACTAAACACAATATTTGCTGTGAGAGGTTTTCTACACTGTAAAATCCAAATATCCCACTCCATATTGGTGATAAAAATCAACTAGTATGACCTCTCTAAGTCTTCCACAACCTAAAGAACCTATCACATCCTAGTTTTGTAAGGATAGGAACGCCCAGTAGACATATATCATGCTGTCTCAGACACTAGCCCAGTCAGCATAAATTATGTAAAAAAAGCATATATCATGCTGTCTCAGACACTAGCTCAGTCAGCATAAATTATGTAAAAAATGGAGAAAATACTGGCAATTAGCATGAGACTGAGGCGTATACTAACGACATGTTTCCAAATTGACTGGTGAAAAAATGATATTATACATACACTGTCAGATATGCTAAGTACTGCCAATACACAACTGACCACAATTCTCTCAGATTATCTGAAATGTTGTATAAATATAACAAGAAAACTGTATTTGTTGTCAGTTTCCAACAAATAGCTCCTCAATGTCAACACATATTTGCCGCAACGGAGCTTGTGCTACTGACATCATATTTTGGTAACAGCTAATTTAAAAGAACAGAATAAAAGCCCTGTGAACCTGCCCAAATCTCCTATTAGCAAACATCTGCCCATTATAATGGAACTTTTTGTGAAAATCAGTCATAACTTGGAGTCTCACAGATCCTAAATCTAGAACAGACAGAGGGAATGGTGGCCACAGTTGGAGGGACGCTACAAGAAATTGGCGAATCCATCTTGACACAACATTAGATCACACTTTGGCATTATTTAAATCCACTAAAATGCCCTCACCTGAGAGAAATAAGAAACGGATGAAGGTATGAAGGATTTTCATATTATTGATGCTGAATCTTATGGTCCTATTATCAAGCTGTTATATTAACATTTAATATTTATTGAATACAGGAGAGAACTTCATTAAAAGACTACGTTTAACCTACATACCAAGATCAACTAATTCCCTGCGCTTGAGTGCAGCATGGGTACAAGTCATGGCAATCACTTTTGCCTCCTTCACGAGCAGATATTTTGAACGGTCCAGCCCACTGCGCAGCAATTCAAATGCTCGGAACTCTTCCAGTTGAGTGAATATTTTTTCTATATACCTGTTAAAAGATATTACACTTCTTTCACTAATCCAAACTCATCAGTTCTGCACACAAATGTGCCTTCAGACCTTGAAAAAAAAAACACTGGCGTAAAGCTTATTTATCAGATGCATTATGGTTAAAGGTAGCCTCAGCTATCACAGTTCAGTGTGGCTTCCACCAATCAATTGTACTGCCTACGTATGGTTAAATGAATACAACAAGGGAATGACAGTTCACATGAAATATTATTAATTTCCAATCAAACTTTATACTGATAATCTCTATTTTCACATAACAAAGTGGAATTATTTTACATACAAATACAATACAGGAATGACTAAAATGGAACTGTAAGAACAGTAATTTCCAAATTAAAATAATGCAATCAATGATAGTCACTGCAGTAAATAACTGAGGAGAATGCAATGTACTCTAGGACTCTTAATCAGTCAATAAATAATGTGACCATATAAATTTTAGGAGCTTCGGAGGATAAATTATAACATTTTTATTAAAATTTTTGAAATTTATAAAGAATATGACTCACAGAAGAATTTGCGAACAATTTGAAATTTGGCGATAGACCTTCTAGAAGACAAGTCATCTTTATAACTGTAAAAACTCACCTGAAACAACCTTCAGCAATTTCCATGTCTTCTTCATAACTACGACATTTGAAGAGGGGTTTTGGTGCGTTATCAAAAAAGCGATGGAATGGGAACTCATCTTTTATAGTCTTCACTGGAACAATCTGAAAATACTTTTATTTTACAGAGATCCTTTTCAGTATGTTTCTGCTGACCAAGAAACAACGCAAAATATTAAATTTTCTATCATAAATTATTATTAAATCACTTGAAAGAAAAAGGTGTGGTGTAACATTATGCATATGCTTAGTATTGCATCATAAAAGTTTTTAGTGGACACAAAAGGTAAAAGCTACACGTGTTCTTAATGTGAGAACTAATGCAGGTGTGTGGTCAGTTTCATCTTCCAGCTGTCTTATCTGCGGACAAACAGTACCAGAAGTGTAACAGCTCACTGCTACCACTCTAAAAAGAATCCCAATTGGGCTGGCTTTTGAATTTGCTTGTGAAAATTGTTAAGAAATGTCTTCACTGAATGAAATATCCTTCCTCAGCATTTAATTTAACAGTAATTAGTTTTATACACAATTTTCATGAACAATGGAGGAAAAAGGCAAGATCCAAAACAAGGTAAATGAAAGAACTACAAAGGCTTCAGAATAAAACAATTTACAATGGAGATATCTTTGGCTGACAATACAGTTTCATACGAAAGTTTGTGCGCTTGACAAACTGTTGGTCACTGAGTGTAGCAGTGATATCCATATGCTTGCCAGGTCACTCTCATGCCCCCTACCCAATTGACACAGGGTAGAACAAACAGAAATATCAGACAGAGATTAAATGAAATAAAAACAATTAGTACTGTCAGAAATGTTTACTGAAGTGACAAGTCAAACTGTAATGATCACTACAGCACATAAGAATGATACGTTGTTACACGTCTTTGTCAAAGTGCAAGTAAGAATTGGGAAGAAAATTCTAAAAATAATAAAAACTAGGCTTTTTGTCATTTTACTGGTGAAGCCTATGAAATCAATGCTTCTGCTTAGTAATTTAATTATTTCACTTCAATTAATATTAAGTAAACATAAGCGAAGAATGAGTACTTAAATTAATTCATAAAAACATGCATCATACTCGAACAATTGTGTACGTCAAGACATAATGACAAAATAATAAAGTGAACATGAATCAAACCTTGCCAGTAGGAGGACGAACTCTGCTGAGGAAGCGTTCCCATCGAGCCAAGATCTGATAGAGGAAAAAATGGCCTGCAGTTTCACAAGTGTACGCAACATCGCCAGCAACTTCCAGGCTCTCCTGCAGTCTCTGCACTTCCATCAATAAATCCAAACGTTTTGCCAGAACATAATTTACTCGGCCATACCTGAAGGAGATCCAAGCGTTTATCAATTTCCATAATTTCGTAAGGCTAAAAAAAAATGTGTGAAACTGTAAACAGTGTCAGTAAGAACTGTACAGACCTGCTGAAGTCCTTCTCTGTTTCAAGAGCCTCCTCTCCATGACCGAGACGTAGCAGATGCCTCTCATCAATATCGAGTTGCATGATCTTCTCAAAAAGCTGATTCAGGGCCTGGTTTGAGTGAGTAACAATGAGTGTCCGTTGTGCTGGGAAGTTGTGATAAAGGTTTGAAATTATCTGAACAGCCACATCTGTTTTCCCTGTTCCTGGTGGACCCACAACCAATGTCAAGCCTGGCTGCATTCCAGCACGAATTGCCTCTACCTGCGTCGGTGTGAATGGAATTGCGTTCCTATAAGAACAAGTGAAAATATGAGAAATTAGAAGCAAGTATTGGAATATGGTTACTCTGTTCTGCTATACATGCAATATTCTGGTCCAAAAAGACGTACTTCATATTCTTTAACAAGATAACGACAGCTCAGAGATTTATATAATGTTCCTCTGCTCTTTGTCATCCAATACTAATATAATTTCCAAATATTTCTCATATATTAAACCATTTTCTACATTACTTTTTGCATTTGTCCTTTCAGATTTTCCAGTAATTTGTAACTTTGTACAGTGGTTCATTTGGACTTAATCCATTGTCCACATGCTTTAATGAACCAAAACATTTTGGATTTTGTTTCTAGTTTCACCTTAAGGTGACAGGACAAGAAATTTGTTGAGCCCCCTGGATAAACTAGATGCAAAATACACAACACGTGCCCAGGTTTGAGATTAGCTCAACCATGGGGCCAAACAGATTAGGCTTTTGTGCTCCTGTTGCCTGAAGAAGGAAGCAGAACTAGCTTCTGAAACACTGTGTTCTTTTCATCATCCTCATCATTTTATCAGGTATTAGACCACGTGGCTTGTTACGGTTTCATGCCATCTCCTTAGTGGTACCATTTAACGTCTCTTCCTCCAAGTTTATATGCTATGATAAATTCAGTTTTTTGTTTTCCATACTTTTTACAAAATGTTTCCAAAGATAAATAAGATAAACTTCAAAAATAAAGATTCAGAATACTGACTACATATCTTCACGCACCCTGATGTAGGTAAATTTTACAAGGGTTGGTCATCTTGGTCACCCCAGCAACAATATCATCTGTGTCCGACACTGTCATTCTATTTTGATAGCTTAACATAACAACCAGTTTCATCATGTGAAATGATATATGTACTAAATGCATAATTTATCAATTTTATAATGGCACTGTATCAAATAATTATAATTGGTGCTACTACTAGGGAGCTTTTAGCACTTCTTATATGGGTAATGGCAATATTAAAATAATGTAGGACAAAACACAGCTGATATTTTCATTGTGTTCTAAGTTGAAAGGAATAGGAAGAGAGTGTGTGACTTTAGATGCACATTAGTACCCATTGCAGAAGAGAAAGGAATATGGAAGAAAGAACAAATCTCTCTATTTTAATGATAGATTTCAATGCAAACTTTAATATTAGATCACTGACAGAATTTAATCCATGGAGCTCAGTCCTTTCTGAGAAGTCGAACAGTCACTCAGAAAATTCCCAACAATTTATAGAACCTGAAGAATCATTTCCATGTTAACAGGAGCCCGCCACTGGTCCCTATCCCGAGCCAGATGAATCCAGTCCATACCACCCCATCCTCCAAGATAAATTTTAATACTATCCTCCCACCTATATCCAGATCTTCCTACCACTCTTCTTCCTTCCAGTTTCCTGTATGCATTCCTCTTCTCTCCCCTGCCCTGCCCACCTCATCCTCCTTGACTTGATCAGTCTACTTATATTTGACAAGGAGTGAAACTTATGAAGCTCTTCATTATGCAACTTTCTCCAGCCTCTGAGTAATTCATTCCTCTTGGGTCCAAATATTCTCTCCTCACGACCCTGTTCTCAAACACCCGCAGTCTGCATTCCTCCCTTAGTGTCAGAGACCAAGTTTCACACCCATAAAAACTACAGGCAAAATTATAGTTTTGTATATTTTAATCTTTAAATTTTTAGATAGCGGATGAAAAGACAAAAGATTCTGAACTGAATGTTAGCACGCATTACCCAGATTTAATACACAGAAAACCTAAAATATGATAAAATAGCATTCTTTCAGGTGACAGTAAAACTTACTTTTTGGGTTCATTGAACAAGTATGGTCCTCTGCTAGGGATCACATGAGGTTGCACAGTAATCACCTTTGATGATTTCAATCTGTCACCGTCCGCTGAATCTCGTTTCTTGCTCAACACCTCGCAAAATGTTAACCTGTTACATCCGGAAGCAACCACAAGCTTCAGGTTATGGTAAAAGCTGAAGACACAATGAATCATGTTCTGGTCTTTAATCTTACAAATGTACATTTCTTTTTAATTAGAGCATCTTCTTCCTCTTATTCTAGCATCACTTCCACTTTATGTGGGTCTTCAACGCTATTATAATTCTCTCTATATTATTGTAATCTACTTAAATTACAGTAGCCTACACTGAGGAACAGAAATACGTGGAGAGTTTTGAAATGTGGTGTTGGAGAAGAATAGAGAAGATCAGGTGGACGGATCGAGTGACCAACGAAGAAGTATTGAGGAGAGTCAACGAGCAAAGAAACATTCTGCAGGCGATTACACGAAGGAAAGCTAACTGGCTGGGACATATTATGAGAAGGAATGGATTACTGAGTGATATCACCGAAGGCCAGGTTGAAGGAAAGAGAGGACTGGGAAGAAGATTGATACAGCTAACCGACGACCTTAAACAAGGAAAGAAGATGACGTTCCAGGAATTAAAGCGAGAAGCCGAGAATAGGGACAACTGGAGAGCTCTTTTTGGGCAGAGCAATGGACCTGTCGTAAGACAGAACACTCATTAATAATAGCCTACACTGACGATAACTGTTAGAAGATTATAATAGCAGGAATTAAGTGTTTGATAACTGTTAGAAGATTATAATAGCAGCAATTAAGTGTTTTAAATAGAGTATTAAGAAATGAACAAAATACACAATCTGAAACCAGAACAAGGGGAAGATTTGAAAATACAAACACTACAAAAATATTTGCCACATTAAGGTCACAGTGGTACAGAAATGTGTTATGTATATAAATATGTTTCCTTTGAGTGTATAATCTAAACAAAAGAAGTTTAATAAACAATCATGGTGAGACTAAGGGTTGAAGATGGAAGCAGTATGTACCTCCAAACCATTGGCACACAGCTGAAACACTACAAAGCACAACAACCTAGAAAACTACCATCTTTTCTCACACTGCTTCAAACATCTCAAATCCTATTCTGCGACTACTTTGCTTAAAACATTGTGTGCAATCACAAACTTTTGGCAAAAACATTTTCAGGTAACAATATATTGTAGATTCAAAATAAACCCAGAAATCAAGACCTGCAGCTCTATGAATAGCCTATTAAAAATATGATGAAGTTAATACTACAGAATAGTGTTAGAAATTGAACCTTCCTAGTAAATACTCAGTCCAGTTGCATGAACTACGAGAGGAAAAATTCCAAAATACCTAAATGGAGGTACCAATTTCACTGGATCATCAGTTTGTACACGGATCTCGTGCTCTGGAAAACTGGCTCGAAGGTGGTCCATATTTAGGAATGTGTCGTTAAAATCCACTGTTGCAATCTCATTAGGCATTCTGAAAGCAAGACCATTGTGGTAAAATATTAGGCATGGATAAATCTAGGATTGGGCAGCGCCCGTAACGCAGCCAGGGGACATTTATATTACTGACAATCTTCAAGGGAATTTAAAACAACCCTTGAAGTCAGAACAGGCCACAGGCCTAAACCGTGAAGTTGAAGAAGATAAATCTAGGAATATAACAATATAAAACCAGAAGAAGGCAACATTTGCTACAACAAACATGAACAATGTTCACACTAAAAGTTCTTCAGTGATTTCATGCAGACTTACTTCACTGTAGAATTTCTGTGTGAAAAGGGGATATACAGCCATGAGATAATATCAGTTTCTCAATAAGAAAGTTCAACTTACTTATAAACTTCGTGGAAGTCTTTTATTTGAAAAGCTAAATAATACACTTAGCTAATCAAGAAATTTTGTGCCTCTTATGGAACCTGAATGCTGAATACCACGTTCACAAGAGCCTGCCACCAGTTCCTATTCTCAGCCAAAAATGAATCCAATCCACACTCTTCAACACCATTTAGCCTAGAATCCATTTTAATATTACCCTCCTATCAATGCCCGAGTCTTCCATGTGCATCCTGCCCTGATGATGGGTTCAGTAAATATCTCTGAAATGTTGACCAATTTTTATGAGACTACACAATGCGACATTCCAGAAGACAATCATCTTCATCCTCTCCGACATGGTTTATGGTCCATAGTCAACACCAAATAGTAACTAAGACACAGGATTTTCCAGATTGTATTCATGCAGTGAGGATTGAAAGGCGTAAACAATTCCAGTTTGTACAAACTCACCTGTCACCTATTAATTCAGGCTTAAGGGGACATATCAAAGACGTAAGAGAACAGAAGAAAGAAGTAAGACCTTTAGAGTAAATAATGTAGAAATCAGCATCAGAGTTGGCGATTTTTATCTTTAGAGTAAATACTGCGTTAATCAAGAGCAGAACTGAAGATGGCTGTCTTTTGGGTTGTAGCGATGTGTAGTCTGGTAGAAGTTTACTGACGTTTCAGAGGTCCTTCCTGTCTCCATCATCGATCGCCCTGATGATGGGGGCAACAAGGGCCTCTGAATCATCAGTCTCCCGCGTTCTCCCAGTAGCATCGTTGCAGCTGTTGAAGATGGCGGTTCTTATTCCAGCTCCCGCCGACTGTGAAGTGCGGTCAGTGATAACGCTAGGCCGCACCCGGCTCGACGGACAGCAAGTCTCCTGCAGGAGTTCAGCTGGGAGGTGTTTAATCATTCACCCTCCAGCCCGGACCTCGCTCCCAGTGATTTCCATCTTTTCCTACCCCTCAAGAAATTCCTGTCCGGTCAGTGTCAGCGTTTTGAGAATGACAGAGAGGCGGAGATGGGTGTCACACCGTGGTTCCAATCCCAGGCGGCAGACTTCTACGACACAGGTATTCAAAAGTTGGTCCCACGGTATGACAAATGTCTCAATTCCGGTGGCGAATATGTTGAAAAATAGCTGGACACTTGCTGTATCTGTTGCAATAAATAATTCCATGAAATTGTGTTTTGTTTCTGTAAACGGCCCCAGGGAAACTTACTTTGAGGACGCGCCTTGTACTAGCAGATTTGTAAACATAGGACACAAAGGTTATCTTAAGACATGAAAATTACATCAAGACAATCCACTGGAAGAAAAAGAACAAAATTGTGTGGACAGTAAGAGAACAGATATGGTAAATACACAGAGATAAACTGTGGAACGAGGGAAGAGGCGAAGTATGAATACTGATCATTATCATCAAGCAGTGACATTTCCATCCTTATGGTTCATCTTATGACAAAGACTCCTCTATTCCCCTCCATCTTTCCCCCGATACATCTCTTATATCTGCGTCCACTCTTTTCCTACACTGTAGTGCATTATTTTTCAAATTTCTTTTTCCACCACTTGGTTTTTACATCTAGCCCTCGAGTCCAAAATAAACACTAATGATCACGTGTATCCTAAATGTAGAAGACCATTTTCTATTCAGTTCCTTAACTGACCTTTGTAGTACGTTTGGCAATGTGTTAACATTTCCTAACATTTTAACAAGAAAGAGTGAAAGACAAGTCTGAATTGACACCAATAACAGAACCGACCTTGAGTAGTGAGCAGCTCCGGGATCTCCATAACCCAGGATGATGTCATGTAACCAGTCCGGCACAACACATTCTGTGTTCATAAGCTCGCGGATTGTTTCCAGCACTGCCTTAAAATTGTTCTCCTTAGGTTTACGACGCATCAGAATATTGAAGGTCTCATAGACATCCTGAGAAGTTGTTGTAAAAATTATAAATTACTGAAACTATTTTGACAGCAATCATTACATAACATTTGCAACTGGCAATAGAGTATCCTAAATGATACAGAAATGGAGGAGGAATTGGAGAATAGGAAATACGTCCCAGTAATTAAATTTACGTCTAATTACCTATCACAAAACACATTGCTTTTTTAGAGAAATAACAGAATGAAAGATTTGAATTACCATTCTCTCTCTTACTCCCTCATTAGTAAATTTATTCTTCTCGCATGAAAATATTTCATCAGTCTCATAACTATGAACCTCTCTGAAGTATAATTTATCATGTTTAATGTAATTTAATGTAAGAATGAATGTAAATTAATATATCAAATTTTATTTGTTTGATGGTGAAGTTAACCCATTAACAAATAACACTGAATATGTATTTATTTTTATCATTTTCCACGTTATTAGGGTGCTACACAAACTAACAAATAAAAACAACAAACTTTCAATATACGTGAACAAAAATACTGTGATTGACGGTTCTATCAAAATATGCCAATTCTACAGGTGCAGAGAGCAACTGGAATGCCACCTTGCATCAAGCAGTTATGCAAGATTAGGATATGGTTAACGTGTCTATGGATCTGTCATTAATATTTTAAAAGGCACTTCCTAAAGGAATGTTCTTTCTTATTGGACTACATTTCAAACTAAGTTGGGAATTTGTCAGTAAAATGTGATAGGCTGAAATAAGCAGAAGAGCTTTCTTTAAACCATTTCACTTCACTTTTTAACATTAATAACACTACATGCTTATTTTCATAGTTTTCTTACCTTGGTAATGAAATTAAAAATGTTACACTGTCTGCATACAAAACTTTACGTTTTAACTAGCAGTGCAAAATTTGTGTTAATCTTGGAAATCATTACAGTAAACACACCTCTTTGCCTTGACTTGCTAAGTCCATGTCAGTGCGATATTGATTACAATCCAACCATACGCGGAAAGTTCGTTTCTCTCCTGGCAGCTGCGGTTTGGGTTCGGGACCCTCTTCGATAACTCGTCCATTCTGGTCAAGCATGCCCTCAATCTCACATCCTCGTACATACGTCAGACCCACTTGTGGTACAAACGGTTCCCTGTGGCTATATTTGGTACCTGGAAGTGCATATTTCTTTTTGATTTCTTTACAAACATAAAAATTTATGAACATGCACACTTCCTATAGCAAATTCAAAGGTACATATTAGGAATGTATAAAAAACACCCATATCTCCATATATGAATGAAGCTGAACTCTGTCTTGAAAGTAACTTGAGATTTTTCACTAATTTTACCAATTAAGCTTAGTAACAAGAATTCAGTACATACAACACAAATCATGTATTTTGCCTATTACTACCACTAGAGAAAGTCTCAGAAGTTCACCGTAGAATCTGATATTTTTACGGACATTTAATAAGACAAATCTTACCTATGGAAAATGTAGGACGGACAGTAATGAGGAAGCAGACGTCATGCTTTCGAAGGTTCTCCCACTCTGCCTTGATCTCATTTCTGACACTAAGATTCACTGTTACATCAGCACGAACTCGTGATGGTCGCTTCTCCCCTGGAATATCCCAGTAAGAACTACTCATTTAAACATCATTAACAGATAAATATGTAAAGGCAAAGGCAGGACCAGTCTTAGGAATAATGGTGCCCTGCCTGGGTAAACAAAATTCACTGTGCCTCCTCCAGCCAGAACATTTTTGAAAAACTAACAATTTGTATCTTATGTGATCACTCCTCAGTGCTAATTATTCCCTTTATCTTGATCAGCTTTGGAGCTAGCTATTGTGTATCATCTGAACGTAAATTTTCTTACAAGAAAAGCTGAAATCCTCCTGCCAACCACTAATCCTGCGGATTTGCTATCGTTCAGTCGAGAACAAGTTCATAGGCTAATACTTAAAAATTGTAAACCCATACCTCCAGAGGCATAAAAGAACAGTTGAACGCTTCATGCTAAACACGGCTGTTAAAGTGCAGAATCTGTCAAATGTCAAAACCAACATGGTAAAAAAGACCATAAAATTAACTTTGACTTTTTATTACAAATTGATTATTTTATGCAAGTTATAGATCAAGATATATGTTGAAATATGTGTTGGTTAGTTGGAAATAATTTTTTTTAAAATCATTATTTGCAATACATTAAATTGCATTATATTCTTCAATTAAGCAAAGATAAGTAATGACTTTAGCCTTTGTATATAGCTTTGTTGTTACACTTTTAATAAAATGTGGTATTTTAAGTACTATTTTAGAGTTCCCTGTATCTTGTAGTTATATTGTAGAATAGCTCTACTTCTTGTTAAAAAAAGGTTCTAATTCAGATGTCATTAAAGGAAAATTAATATTAGGAAGATCAGAAAAAGGTTTTGATCTTGGAAATGCAGACAGTTTGAATCATATTAAACCTTCTATGCTACAGATAACCCACATAATATGACAAGGAGCAAGAAAGAAAAACAAAAGAACAAATATTAATTAAGCAAGAGTCTGAAAACCACAGCTGTAAAATTTTCCACTCTGTCACTCACTCTCTAACTTTCACCACTCCAAGACAAAACTGTAGCAACCTTTGTTTTTTTTTATTTATAAACTCAGCACTTTTATCAAAGTACCAATAATTTACACCACATTTTTCAATTTCCTTGCAAACTTCCAAGTTCCAGTGTACGTCACTTACCAATGTTAGGTTTGGCCACTTCAACGACAGCAAAATTGATAATTGGCTGAGCCATACGAGCCCAGCCTCCATAAAAGATGTTGCCATCTTCTGCATTCCTGAAGAACATAAAACACCATTTCACATAATTCAGTGGACAGAAGGGAAGTCTATAAAAATGTCTGCAAATTTTACGCCACTGAAGAAAAGGAAGTCAAAACTCGACTGAATTACAATATTCAAGAAGCATTAGAAAGTTTAAAGGAAAATATGTGGTAAGATGTAATATTTAAATAGTAGAGGTGGATGCATAATGCCTCCCTTTCCATATATTATTTACATATAAATAGAATAAAGGTAAATACTGCATGGTTTAAGAAATTTTAGTGAAGACATCTTAGGGGGTATGTGAAATTTAAAAAAAAAATTATTTTATGATAAACACTGAATAATCAGTAATGTAATTTATTTTAGATGTAGATTATATACTATGTATAACTTGAATTATACACTAACAACTTTGGGGGTACAAAATTGAAGAGAAATTATATCTGGGGGTACGCGAGGACATCTTAGGGGGTACGTTAAATTTTAAAAAAAATTATTTTATGATAAACACTGAATAATCAGTAATGTAATTTATTTAATTTATTTTAGATGTAGATTATATACTACGTATAACTTGAATTATACACTAACAACTATTGGGGTACAAAGTTGAAGAGAAATTACATCTGGGGGTACGCGAACAAAAAAGGTTGAATACCACTGATGTAAAGAATCAAGAACTGCATGGAACTACTGACATACCATTGGTGCAAGCCAATGGAAACAAAGGAAATAAGTAATGTGGATAAGACTTCAAAGTGCCTACAAATTTTTGTGTTAAATTTTGATGACAGAAATATTTGCTGATTTATAATCATAAACTGCTTACATAAAACACAGAATTCTTTAGATAAAAACTCATAAAAATATGTGTTTATCTTGTGTATTGGTACATTCTGAGGCACAAACATTTTATGAATGTAATTTAGAGTAAAGAACAAATTTAAGAAACCTTCAAGAATAAACCTTTATTACCGTCTTTAAAACAAACTTCAACCATAGTACTTGTAATAGCGAGTTTCATTACATGATTTACTGGAGCAAAGAGTTTGTGTCACTTACCATGGACTTAATCTACTGACTGCATCCTCAATATCCTGGCGAATTTCATCTAAAAGAATACTCAAATTAGTACAGTTTAGAATGAATATCCTTATTTCAACATATACACAGCTGAATAAGCAAAGTCTTGCATATTTAAAAATGACTTTATTCCCTCACTTAAAAAACACTGTTAAGAATCTGTAAATTGAAATGGAGGAATTCATTTAGTACACGTGTTTTTCAAGTTTCAATCAGAATCATTATATTAACTGAAGATACAAATTGAGTGAACAGATGACATAACCATATTTCCATTTAACATAAACTGGTGTATAAAGGAGTCATCATATTCCCAGGAACAGCGATCTCTGACAGTGGGAGCAAATAACGAGAAACAACCTTTATGCCCTTCAAAATTATATTATAAAATTATGCAGATGAATACAAACTGTTTTGATACATACATGTTGACTCCAATCGGAATAGATTGAAGTTGCGTAACAGGTAATCGTGTAGCGTAAGAAATTGTAAGTTGAGTTTTGGTAGAGCCAGGCACCCTTCTCCAGAAAAATATTCACTTGGAACAATGTTTTCATTCCAGATTATATCCTCTGTTGGGTATAGAGGCATTTCATTCAGGGCCTGCAACTGTGATGCCCGTCGCTCGTGCCTAGACACCTGCAGGAAAGAATACGGATAAACAGTGTGTCCCAAAAATATGTATACGCACATTCAATGAATGAAATAAAAAGATTTTAATAAACTAAACAATTACATATGTTAGAATTTGAACCTAGTGAATTAGCAAATCTAGTGCACGTGTTCAAAATTACCATCATTAGCTTTGACAGTGGTGAGCAAGGAGCCACCAAAGTTGCTGCTGTGTATACATCTTTTTGGGACACACTGTATGTACAGAATTTTAAAAGGGTCAAGACACAGAATAAGACACATCTTGAAAGGTCTGTAGTTATTAATTATTGCTCTACTCAAAAACACTTCCTGGGTTATGAAAATAAGAAACATACTCTGCCTTATCATTCATGTTAACATAAACGTGGCTAGCACGCTTACATATAGACATATTCTATACACCTTCATTCAATAATCTACTTCAGCATTTTATGATCACTACCTTGAATAAAATGAGCATACTATAATATACTAAAAAATAAAAATATTATTAATTTTAATCACTATTTACTGAATTATATCTAAAACACAAATTTTACAGATAAACTTCAGTAAAAACTCATAATACTAAATTTCATCAAAATTAATTAAACCAAATAAAATTATGCAATATGACACAAGTGTAAGCAGTTATAAAATATATCTGGAAAAAAATTATTACTAGTACCTTGCTCGGGCAAAACAGATATATACAATTAGTAATACAATAAAAAGTTTAAATTGTCGGTATAAGGGACCATACCAGAAGTTCGAGAAGGAAGTCACTGTCAAATCGAAACCAGTCCTCAACTTCAGCCTTGTCAGGAGGTGGAACTAAGTTCAGGTATGTCGCAATACTTCTCAACTTCTCCTGACTGTAAAAAAAGCATAAGTTTTTTTTATGAAACCAAAGCTAATAATTTCTGACAAATGTAACACTGCTAGAAACATCTGATTATTATATACTCATACCTCAGTGGTCCGAAGTGCTTCAGCAACGCCTCCCTTGTGTCCACACTTGCAACATTTGCCAAAGAAAAGTCACGTAAATCTGGGAACTTTGCATATGCTGCTTTCTGTAACATTCAGAAGTACCAAATTATAATGCGTGGATGGGATGACTGCAGCTGCACATTTCAAAATACCTATGACAAACCAAGATGAGCCGGGATAGCTCAGTCAGTATAGTGACTAGCTACGGGCTGGACGACCGGGGTTTGATCCCCGACGGGGGCAGAGGATTTTTCCTCTAGCCTCTGCGTCCAGACCGGCTCTGGGGCCCACCCAGCCTCCTCTACAATGGGTACCGGGGTCCTTTCCCTGGGGTAAAGCCGGGGCGTGATGCTGACCACTCACCCCCATCTAGTGCCGAGGTCAAGGAAGAGAGGAGCTATACCTCCACTCACCCCAAGCGCCTACATGGCGTACAGTGGGACAAACTTTACTTTACTTTTATGACAAACCAAGAGCGTAAATGTACATACTGCAATGCATGTGACATATTTTACATGTGCATTCTTTGAAATTTTAAAAACCACATTGAACTTTGATGTTCAATTATTGCAGATTCAGATCTATCGGTGAAAAAGCTAATCACTCTGCACACATAACTGCACAGAGTCAGACGCGACCATTTTTTATATTTTTTAAATACTAATTATGTTGATAAATGATTACAAAGTGGGAAGTGATATTGGATTTAAAGCTTTCAGCGAAAACCCCAAACACCAAATTTCAATGTAATACATTCATTAGTTTCGGAGATAGAACGAATAGTCAGACGGAAGGACACAGCCTTCTCAAAATGTGGTCACTCTGGGCAAAGATCCTATAAGAACTGGAAGTTTTGAACAGTTTTCAGTAATCTTCTTGTTTACAAAACAATGAATTGACACATTTGTGTTCTGATGGGATAGTTAGCCATAGCTTTGAAAATATGTAATGTGTTCCATCTTATTCCAATTTTGTATCGACTGCAGAGGTTTTACACAGCCAAACTGAGAAAATAAAGGATGATTAAGAATAATGAGTTGAGACTGCTACAGAAATGTATTTGTAGAAATCAATTTTTGGCCTAATGAATTTTATCCTCTTACGTGCGATTCCGAGGACACATAGGATGAGACGTTTACCTTACCACTGATTTCGATACAATGCGAAAATGGGTGTGTGAAAAGCACTTTTACTCTATTTACATTTTTGCTTGACTTATGATGTGCAGGGCACATCAGAGAGTCAGCTGGATCTTACTTGCACCAGAGAACGTATGGTCGATATAAATGTGCTCTGTGACCATAACTAACCTACATTAATAATACATCAGAACGCTTCAATTTTTACCTCTGCTTTATAAAAAGTAAATGGTTCCAAACTTCTAACTTACTGACTGAATGATTAAGTAAATGACAAATCACATGACATAAATTAAGTCTTATAATTACTCAGTTTGTCAAGAAATTTTACTTCAGTTTCCTTTTTTCTTTAAATTAAAATTAACTGGTCTTGTTAAAGGTTCAACACTATGTTCATAACAAAAAAAATGGAAAGAAATTATTGTTTAAACAAACAGAACAATTATTACAAATATTTATACTTTGTTATGTAATTATTATAATCATATTATATGTAAAAATAATACAATTCTTGTAACTTTAAACTATCTCCCGTCAAACGCAACCCAGTTGAATCTGTCACGAGTTCAGCCACAAACATTCACCTCAATATCCGCCGTTTAAAAGAATCAACAGGATAAATAGGATTCCATAATTTTGTGAAAAAACATAACATTCCAGCATCAATAAATTTAACTTACCTGTAGTGATGTGATTCTGGAGTAATGCAACTGTGTCATGTCATGGTCTGTGAGGGGATCCCCCGTCTCATCGCTGATCTCAAACCGCGAATAGAATTTAAGCATGTCCAGCAACTGGAAACAAGACATTACTCATATGAATTAAAATAATACACTGATTCTGAAAACACAAAGGGATTTTAATGATTTAATCCAATTTAAATACGGTACAACATAACCAACAGAAGAAATTTTTCCAAATGTACATCTTACATCCTACCATGTCATTTATCAGGATGTATCACAATTACTTCTTAATGGTCATTTATTATTACTGCTATTGTTAATGTTGTTACTATTTTTACCATTACTGTTTCCGCGTTCAAAAACTCATTATCGACTTGAAGCAATATTATTAAAGGAGATAAGTTATTTGTCAATCTGTTCAAAACACCAAAGAATAAACATTAAAATCTTTTATTCTAACATTTTAGTGAAGTTTCTGACAGTTTAACCACATTGTTTATCGGATTAAAATTTTAAAAAATTTAATGCATCAACACAATAACTTTCTTACTTACATACAAATATAAATCACAAGAAAATAAAGTGAAATGAACCTGGAAGAATGGCAGTGAATGGGGACTGGAAGAAATTACTTTCTGCCAACAAGGAGAGCCGATTCGTCAGTACGGAATCATAAATGTTTGTGAAATGAACTATTTCATAACCAAAACTGCTCATAATTCTGAGGCACTCATCACTTTGTACTTTACTACATTCTGAGACATTTTATTGTGAATCCGTGTCCTCTGTGTGTGTCTCGTAATAAATTACGAGACTTAACGCAACACTGGACATCTTGGCTGTCATAAAATGGGCCAGTACACTCAACAGCTGGCACTTTTTTATCGAACTGTCATTATTATTGTGACAATAAGCAGGCTGTTGCTCATTGGTCAGCTCCAGGCACAACAGAGAATAATGCCGAAGTGCACCTACAGCAGCGGAAAGAATAAAACACCAGAGACCTCTCCCAGTGGCTCATCGCAGGTGGGGATCAAAGGCATTATCTCCGCAGATACACACCTGCTTCATTGAAGTCTCAAGATAAACTGAACCTTTTTGATTATGATAAATAAAGCAGCATATGAGTTCCAGAAATCAACACAGATTCATCACTGAATTATATCAACCACAATGACACTTCATACAAAATCATCTCTTTATTTTTTTAATATTTATATCTCCAATGGGATAGAAGTGAAAAATGTCAAATTTCTGTATGTTCATTTTTTGTAAAGTAAAAAAGTGAAGCTGTCCCTCTACACGCCACGTAGGTCGCTTGGGGGGAGAGGTGTATAGCTCCTACTAATTCTAAACCCAGGCACTAGATGGGGTGAGTGGTCAGCATCACGCCACTGGATAGGAAACTGGGTGGGCCCCACAGCCAGTCTGGACACAGAGGCTAGAGGAAAAAAGATCCTCTGCCCCCGCCGGGGATCGAACCCCGGTCGTCCAGTCCGTAGTCAGTCACTACACATTAATTAAATTATTTAAATTGATATTATTTGCTCTCAAATCACATACACAAACTTTTTACACTTTAAAACACAACTTTTCGTGCGTTTCAACCTCATGAGGTCATCATCAGTGGCGTATTAAAACCAGTCCATTAACATACTGATTCCATACAACTATGTGTTGTAACAATGCACTGTGTGTGAAGACGGTGTCCTACTCTCCACTTTTATTAATTTATGATATACCAATGTTTCGCTCTGTCTTGGATCATTTGAGGTTATGTGTCATTGAATTTGACCACCAAAATGGATAAGATGGCAGGCATCTGGAAGGAAATGGCTGTGTCCTGTTCCGTAGACATTCCCCTGCAGAGACTGAAAAAACCCACGAAAAATCTGTAGCCCGGGAAAGTTTAGAATTGGCCACGTCCTGAAGCAGGTTGAAACGGTAACGTTTTCGACTCGTGTTCGATAGATCGGTGGTAATCAACCTGGGGTACGCGAAGACATCTTAGGGGGTACGTGAAATTTAAAAAATATATATATATTATTTTATGATAAACACTGAATAATCAGTAATGTAATTTATTTAATTTATTTTAGATGTAGATTATATACTATGTAAAACTTGAATTATACACCAACAACTTTGGGGGTACAAAGTTGAGGAGAAATTATATCTGGGGGTACGCGAACAAAAAAGGTTGAATACCACTGGTCTAGAGGGTTAACTTTAACTCTCCTTCTAGACGTGCTTACAAGGCTAAAAACGCCACGGCATCTTTTAATGACGGCGAGGTATTTGCAAATATCAACTGACAATCACAACCGTCTTAAGGCTTCTACTCTGCAAGTTACAAGAAGATAAATAAATGAAGCTCCACGCAACGATGTTACGTCACAACTCACAATATAACTGGGTCAACATTTACGGTTCAACGTATTGAAGACGACATGACAGGAGCTACTTGCATGGCGCCATCAGCGGACAATGATCAAACGACAGCCGCCATAGTGACCTCTGCGTGACCTCTCCACCATCCACTTCCACGACGCTACATCATTAGCAGGTCGCCAGCCAGAGTCCAGTTACGATCTTACGAACAACGCATAAATGTGATACAGAAATAACTCGGTATTCAGTGATGTCATGTTCCTTCTTGAGCATGCATTATTCTTAAAACTATTTATTATTTAGTGTTCTGTCTGATGACAGGTCCATATGAACAGGATCCTTCCATCCTTTTCTCGGACTGGGACCTGTTCATATACGTTCTTGGCAGATGATCCAGAAGTGGTTTGCCATTGCCTTCTTCTGTGTGTGAATGGAGTAATTGTTGGGATGCCACGGAGGAAAACTCCGTGTTGCCTAGACCACGGCCTTGCCCAACACAAGTTATAAATTCGAACCCGAGACCCCAGGATTTCAAGGCCAGCGTTCTAACCGCTAGACCACCGTGGCAAAGATCCAAATAGGAATGTCGCGCCTGCTTCATAATGACAATACAAAACAGGGGAATGGAGTCTTCCGGAGCCAGATCCTTCTGTCAGGCGTCTGCCAACATAACAGAAGTGCATTTGCCAAGACGCACAGCCGACAACAGACTTATAAATGCGTAGTGCAAGAGTGGCCGAGTCAGCTGTGAACCGACCGCGGGAAGCTTTGACTTCCTCGTTAATTGCCGTCTAAGAAGAACACGTCTTGTTCTGACTCGTACATGGACAAATTCCTTGTTTCTCCTTTCTTAGGCTTGGAGTTTAAACAACCGTGTGGGTAGAATAAGGGCACATGTCAGAGACATCAATTGTGTCATTCAGGCTATTAAAAATAAATATGCCAGTCTTGCTAACTGCGGCTTGAGAAACACTCGATGTTTCGACTCTCTGAAACATTTCACTCGAAATGCGTTCAACTTGCAGTCAAGATGAAATCCGCCGTTTCTCAGAAGACCTAGAGCCGATGAAATAACGAATATGTTTTATTGGAGTTGGGCATATTTACGAAGATAAAATTAGGAACGGCTTCGTGCAGTTGGTCTTCAGCGAAAGGTTACGGGTCGAGGTTTAACGAAAACTTTATTAAAATGGCTTAGGTGATACGACTGAGAGATAAGGATAACTTATATTTGTTTAAATTTGTCAGTCTAATCACAAAAGTTCCTATTAAATATTAAAATATTACATAATTAACATTTAAATATTTAAAATATATTAATGATGATCTCTATCGAAATGTTCGATTTAAATCGAACATTTCGATAGAGATCATCATTTAATATATTTTAAATATTTAAATGTTAATTATAGTAATATTTTAATATTTAATAGGAACTTTTGTGATTAGACTGACAAATTTAAACAAATATATATTTATCACAATATGACGCAACTTTATCATCTCAAGGATAACTTAATTAATTAATTAATTGTGCACAAGTACAGGGCAGGCGAAAGCAACCACTTGGATATCACGTGACCATTTCCACGAACGTTATAATAATCCGCGGTTATAAACTTCAATTAATAACAAATGGCATTCTAGTATCACAGCTTTATATTTACTGAATATGAGAAAATTAACGCACAATGGACAGGTGATGGTCCCACAGAATGTTTCATCTCCGACATACCTGAAGGATATCGATTAAATTTGGAATTTGCGATAATCAATCGCCAGGCTAACTTCATTTTTGCGCGTACCTGTCAATTATAACGCATAATTTTCTTGAAATATAAATTTAAATTCGTAAAATATCTTATTGTATCTGCAATGAACGGACATCAAGATCAGGGGTTATCAACCTACGGCCCGTCGATAAATCTTTTGTGGCTCGGGTATAATTTTGAGATACTCTGTATAATGAAAACTATTTATAAATTAAATTCCACACTGACGTTTAAAAACAGCATACCAAAAAATCTGTTAAACAAAATCACGTGTAATATGGCAACCTGTTTGAAACAGCCAGTAAAAGTTTTACAAACTTTAAGTTTACGACCGGCCAGTCGATACTTTCATTTCAAATAAAACCCAACCCAACCTAACCTAACCTAACCCAACCTAATCTAACCCAACCTAATCTAACCTAACCTAACCCAACCTTATCTAACCTAACCCAACCTAACCTAACCCAACCTAACCTAACACAACGGCTAAAAGATCAGGTCGGAGGTCTAAAGGCGTAAGCATTCGTCGATCGAACATGGCATCACGGGATCGAACCCCCGTCCAGGTAAAAAAGTGTCTGAATTTTTTCTGATTTGTGTTCTCGTGTCCAACAGACGCGTTGCGACGGGCCAAACTCCCGTCTCAGTATTAAAACATGTCAAAAAAAAAAACACCCAGAAAAGCCAAGACTCATATCGAACTACGAGTATAATCGATAAACGTGTTAATGAAATGAAATCGATATAAAAAGATATTCAGCCAGCGTTCGAGTTTATACTGTTTTACACAGCGAAAGGCTTCCAACATATTTAGGCTCACACTACAGACACAAGCGTCTGCATTTTAAGGCTTACAGTTAAACATTCATTAGGCCTGGTGGTCTAGCGGTTAGAACGCTGGCCTTGTAATCCTGGGGGTCTCGGGTTCGATTCCCGGCGGTGCCC